TTCTTTAAGGAACAGACATTCTAAAATTGAGGCTGAGCAATTCTGACAAAACACTTCCTGTGGGAAAGCCCAACTCTACCTTTCCTTCCCTTGCTAAGATGGATAAATAAAGGGCAACAACTTTGACAAACCTAATCAAGCACAGCAGGAAATAAGGAGAAAGTCACTAAATGTTCACTCCAATTCATTAATTCTTTAACAAGTCCAGTGTCCTCGATGGTGATTAAAGAGCTCATCCTTTTAAGAAAAGAAAATGACCCTGAGAGTCATTCTGTGGCAAGAGAAACTGAAAGAGGCATGCAGTGACCCACAATATATGAATACTCGACTAAATATCAGAACAGGCCATTCTATAGTGGAATACAACCAAATCATGTGGGATAAATTACAAATAATTAACTTGGGGGACATCACTAAAGTGGAATCAGACAGGCAAATTATGAAAAGAATTCATAGAAATCCTTGAGACAACAGTAAAGGGTACATATATCCTGGATATCAAGGAAGAGAGGGAATAAGGCCAGGTGGATAAATCACAAATCCAGGAAAGTCATCAAAGAAAATATCATCTTAAAAGAAAAATTGGACTGTAAAACATCTTGCAGATTAAGCAGTACTGTACAGAGTAAAAAAAAGTTCTAAATGTGGCCAATCAGGAAATTAGATTAGCAAAATGGTGTTTCATAATGAAGTCAGCCCAAAGATTAAGAAAGATCCAAGTCCTTTTATGCACATACCAAGAGCAAAATGAAAATAAAAGATACTGTACTTTTGGCCTTCTAAAGGACAAAAACAATGTGGCTCTGAAAAATGATCATGAGCAGATGACACTTTGCATCAGTATTCACACAAGAGATGATGGCTAACATGCCAATACCTAACAGAAGACATACCTCAGGGGTAGAACGTGAACATTAGAGATAGCAATTACATATAACACCTTTAAAAAGAAAATAGCTGTCTTGAAAGAATTCAAAGCTCCTGGACTGGACAGAACAGACACTTTGTTATGCCATGGGTGATACCTGAAGTTATGAGCATAAATATAACATTTCAGTATAGTTTTATTTTATTTGCCATGGAAACTATGTAATAAGAATATCAGGGAACAATAGAGAACTGTTACTGAAATTTATTTTCATATCACTGGGATCACATAATTATTCATAGCCTAAAACAAATAAATTTGAAAATTAGACTTTCCTTCACCTCCAGGTCCTGCTCTCATCACCAACCCATTAGGGCTAGTGGGAAGCAACGTTGCTCATTCCTAGCATTGTTATAAAATTTAATTTCAGGAACAAACTTCCATTCATAACTTCATGCTGGTATTGAGCTACAGTATTCTGTCACTAACAAGGGAGGCAAGAAGTACAAGAACCAGTGTTCAACTTATATCCCTAGCATGAACCACCTAGTCCCAAGAAAAAAATGAGAGCTATATCCACTTGGTCACTGCACCCCTAAACTGTTCTAAAAATTTATACATATCTTGATTTTTATAAACTGTGCTGAACATAGATACAGTACAGGGCATAACCAGCTATTATCTTTCTGGAGATATCTACCATTCATATCAATATTTTACCAGGTTGTCAAACTATATTGTGTAAGAAGATGGTCCTGTCTAATTTGAAACAATTATTTCCACAATGCCAAGTCCTTTTCTGCCAGATGCAGGATGGCAATAATCAAAGGTAAATACAGTACTGTACACACATTTTCTCTTCATTCACTCTCCTTCAGTCATTCTTACTAATGCAATGACACTCTCCCTCCATAAAAAAAAACACAAAACCGATTATCCATCAGATTTACTCATTGGTTCACACAAGCCAGCCAGCATCATCCAACAGAAGCCTTCTACATACACACCTCAAAGTAAGTGAACTTTTCTACCATTTTTGTTGAATTTAGGAAATTTATGTAACATATTATCAGTTTTGAACTGACCATCATAAATTTATTTGTCAGTGGCCCAAGGTTAAAAATGCTTTGAAAACCTTTGATCTTGATGTATGATAGTTATTTTGTGGGTCCCTTTTTTCTGACCTGACCTGTCTAGTCACGTCACCACCCTTCTCTTAAGCTCCTCTACGTGTGTGTTGGTGTGCGGATTAGTGGATGTCATCATTATGACCTGACCTTATATTTTTAGGTCACCATGTATATTTAAGCCTCTCTCTGTCCATGTAACCCAGTTGCCTCTGAAGATGTCTTGAATAAAGACGAAAGCTAAGGTACTCCGTTGTTTCCATTTTCCCGTGTGATTTTATCAAGATTTATCTTATCCACGTTTTCATTGTGGATTTACATGAAATATATATATATATATATATATATATATATATATATATATATATATATATATATATATATATACATATATATATATATATATATATGTATATATATACATATATATATATATATATATATATATATATATATATATATATATATATATATATATATATATATATATATATATATATATATATATATATATATATATATATATATATATATATATATATATTACTGTAAATACCAATAAGACATGCCATTACCTCTACCTCTGCTGAGTGACAATGAGATGTCTGAACATTTAATACCGTAAATATATGGTAGAGGAATTATTAGATAAAGCACGGTCTCCCTATTGTGACCACTGCCACCAATGGGAAAACTGGGACTACAAAAAAGTTTATACTGTCTAATGTATCAAGCTTGGGGAAGTTGACATATAACTCATCATCATCATTTTATGGTAATTTTCAATGCTTGTGTGGGTTACTCATGATAAGAACCTCACCCATCAGGTTCTTATCTGTGAGGTAATTTTTTACAACCTCTCCCTATGTTTTCTTGGCCTACCCTTGGCTCTCCTCCCGTCCATATCTAAACTCATTTATCTCTTGACCCAATTGGTCTCTTCCATTCTTTCCAGATGCCCAAAACACCTCCGCCTGCCACTGTACAAAACCTTGCCAATGATCTTAATACACAGCTTCTCTCTTGGTTTGAGCAAGGTTTCCTATCTCTCATGGTCATTACATAAGAACATAAGAACATAAGAAAGTGGGATACTGCAGGAGGCCGACTGGCCCATACAGGGCAGATCCCTTTCACACCCATCCCAGCACTTCCATGTGCCTATCCAACTTCATCTTGAGGCTCCCCAATCCCTATCCTACTATAGCACTTTCGGTAGCCTATTCCACATATCCACAACTCTATTACCAAACCAGTGCTTGCCTATATCCTTTCTGAATCGGAATTTATCTAATTTAAAGCCACTTTGTTCTAGTTATTTCGTTATTACTGAGCTTCAAGAACATCTTCCATTTTACCCTTGCCAATCACTCTGCTTGTACCTCTATCATATCTCCCTAACTCTACGCCTCTCTAATGAATGCAAGCCTAAGTTTTTCAGTCTTTCTTCATATGTAAGGTTTCTAATATTATGGATCATTTTGTCATTCTTCTTTGTACTCTCTCAAAGAATCTATGTTCATTCTATAATAAGGACACCAGAACTGAACCGCTAATCCGTGTGGCCTCACTAATGCTAGGTAAAGTTTCAAGATAACGTCAACAGTTCTGACACTCAGACCTAGATATGAACCCTAGAATCCTGTTTGCCTTGTTGCGGCATCTAATACATTGTTTTTCTAGGTTTCAAGTCGTTTAACAAAATACACCTAGATCTTTTCACAAACTGGGTTTTCTATTTCCGTGTTACCTAGTTTATACTTAACGTTTGTATTCGTCTTCCTATCTGTAGTACCTTGCATTTATCAGTTATTAAAATTCATTTGCCAGTCTACTGACCACTCATGTAAGGTATCTAGATCTCTTTGAAGGTGTTCAAAGTCACTGTCTGAATATCACTTCTCCCATTTTGGTATCATCTGCAAATTTATAATCCTACTAGTTATGTCTAAATCAAGATCATTAATGAATATAACAAACAGCAGAGGGCCAATACAGATCCCTAGGGAACTCGCTTTTGACCGCACCCAGTCTGACTTTAATCCATTTATGCTGACTCTTTGTTTCCTACCAGTTAACCATGACCTAATCATTTTTAATAATGATCCACCTATTCCATGTGTTTCTACCTTCACTTATCAATCTCTCATGAGGACTCTATCGAGATGCTTCTGAAATCTAAATAAATTATATCATATGACATCATTATCTACCGCTTCATATACTTCTGAAAAGCTAAACAAATTTGGGAGACAAGAACGTCCCTGGGTGAACCGTGCTGAGAAAAGAATAGATTAGGAATGTTTTAAGGTGGCTTCTGATTTTTTGTAGCAATAATTGACTCTAACTAACTTGCCTATGATTGACGTGAGACTAATGGGTAATTTGATGCAATTGATTTATCACCCTTTTTGAAAATCGGAACTACATTTGCAAGTTTCCAAGCTTCTGGCACTAGGCCCGATTTTAATGACTTATTAAATAAAACTGCTAATGGATTACTCAACTCATCTCTACATTCTTTTAATATTCTAGCATATACCTCGTCTGGACCAGGCGATTTATGAGGCTTCAGTTTGTTAATTACCTCACCACTCGCTCAAGCCAGAGTATGCCATCTTCTTTAACAGCCATACATCATCATACTTCTCACTTTTCTTTCAAGCAGAGAAAGTCACTTGCCATCAATAGAGGCAACAGCTCCCTAAGCTTCTACCAAGCACTTTTGATTATTGCAACTGAAACAGCTTCAGCACCATCTCCAAGTCTAACCAAGTCACCCAGGAGACAGAATGCATTGACACAGTCCACGAATGTGTCTCCAATGTTGCACTTCAAGCCTTGCTAAAGCCACATTGATCACCTGGATATACAACACAATGAAAATCAAACACATCCTGAAGCCCGTCAATTACACCATAATAACCTGTAAACAATTCCAATTATGTACATAGTCTAATATGTTGAAAAATAGCTCAAGTAGTAGCAAAAGAGACAATACCAACCACACAAGTAGTAAGGGATCCTCCAGAAGTACACAGTTGGTTGTGGTTAATAATCAAAGAATTGCGAGAGGCCTGGTATGCATTGCGGCAGCTGTCTAGCCCAATCACTGGGATCCGAGAGTCTTGCAGTGATGTCAGCTGTGTTCTTCCATCTGCCAGGAAGTAAATGAATAAAGTCTTGTAATAATTTTTTTCCAAAGGTATGGATAAGGCAAGTAAATACATTAATGAAAAACATACCAATTTCACAGTACAGTACTATGTAATTAAACATCAAAAGTAGGGGGCAGGGGAGGGAATGCACCCCTCTGTTACTTCGAGTTGGAACATTTCCTGTAATCATCTCACCCCCCTTGACAATGTAATTCTTAATAGAACCATTGCAATTCCAATTTCCCAAGCTCAGTTCAATCTTTCAAACTTCTCACTTATTGGAGCATGTGTCTCTAAATGAAATCGAGGGGAGTGCTCTGAGATTCTGAGTTTTCATTGGTAGGCTGATTCCACCATTTTGAAGGGACATCCAATAAGAACCCAGGGATAAAAATAAAAAAAAAAGGTTTTTACATGTATTGACCAGGAAAGGATGCCATTAATAACCTCGTGTTTTTATAATATTTTTAATAGTTTTAAGCACAAAAGTAATTGGTGAATGTTTATCCTGGTAATCAAGTATTTTAGTAATGAAATAACAGCAATGTAGAGTAATGTCAAGCTTGTATTCAAGAAGACCAACAAGGTCTTGCTAGGCCCGACATCCCCACCTCTGAGATATGATAGCTCATGACATTGGGGTTTAACTGCTTCCAGTCACAAGGGTTCACAATAGTGTTGTTCAAAGAAGGTGTTCAACAAATTCTTTTCTCGGTGCTCACAAGAGAGGATGCGAACAATCTTCCTGATTTTGAGGACAGATGGTTTAACACAGTGCTGACCCACATTGTGTTCTCAGAAGATGGTATAAGAAATAAATTTTGAAAGCTAAAGGTTCTAAAGAGTCCCGGCCATAACATGGTGTATCCCAGAGTTGTGCAACGAGCTTGCTAAGCCCCTGAAGGTCTTATTCTGCAATTGCCCGATGAGCATAAGGGTCCCCAGTGATTGGCAAATTGCTTGTGTGAGTCCTATAATATTTAAGAAGGGCGATCACACTCCATAAATGATTATATACCAGTGCTCTGACCGTTATAGTATGCAAAGTAAATAAGAGCAGTATATGAGATGCCATGATGGACCATTAATATGAAACATCCTTGTAAAGATTGCCAACACGGTTTATGCCGGGACACCCTGTTTAGCACAATTACTCAAGGTACTGGATGTTTGGACCCAAATTCTGGACGGGGTGGTAATCTTGACAAATTTACCTAGAATTTGCTAAAATCCTCATTGGCATCCCATGAAAGGTTGAGAATTAAAATGGAAGGGTACGGGATTCGGGGAAGTGTACTTGGCAATCGGAGACTTTTCTGCATGTTCGCAAGCAGTGTGTGGTGCTTAATGGTATTAAATCATCCTGTGTTTCCATGACAAGCGAGATACCACAGGGCAGTGGATTGGGCCAGTTGCTCGTTTGCTTCATAACTGACATGCCAGAACCTGCATATCCTTCCATACAAATTTTTATGGGACGCCAAGTTATTTAGGGAAACTAAGCACCAAAGAGACTGCGAAGAGCTGCAGAAAGATCTCCCTGAGCTTCAATAGTGCTCGAAGAAATGGCCAAGATTCAATGTCATGAAGTGTAAGAGAATGCACTTGGGTCATCCTAACGGGACGAAGAAACTGCGATAGAGACCGAATGCAGACACCTGCTTTAAGAGATCTTTATTTGATATTTTATTTTGTTATCCCCAAACACAATACCAGAACAAAAATGTAAATTCACTACATTACTAAAGACAAAATACAAGGGTTTTTGAAGTGGTAGAGAAGAATGGGAAGTTGAGTGCTTGGTATGTAGACCTGGTACTTACGTCTCTGTAGCAAATAAAGGCAGAAATCATTTACAAACTCATGTGGACTCAGACAAGCAAAAGAAAACAGCTCAAGAAGAATAACTTATCAGCAAAATTAACAATTAATATATATATATATATATATATATATATATATATATATATATATATATATATATATATATATATATATATATATATATATATATATATATATATATATATATATATATATATATATATATATATATATATATATATATATATATATATATATATATAATATATATATATATATATATATATACAATATTCCGTTTTACAATTGGTTTATATATATATATATATATATATATATATATATATATATATATATATATATATATATATATATATATATATATATATATGAGTTCTGGCTATAACGCTGTTTTGATTAACTTTAATTTGCCTAACATTTGAATCCATATTTGTATAACATTTTATTATTTCTCCAATTTTGTGGTACAGTGGGGTATGCTATAACGAATGTAATTGGTTCTAGAACCTTGTTCGTTATAGCATTCGTTCGTTATAGGATTAATCCGTTCCAGGCCCCCAAATACAACCACTTAACACTGAAAAATATAATATAAAATTGTAAAAATTGTAAAAAAGTGCATAAATATGCATCTAAACCCCTGAAATAAAGAATATCATTAATATTTGTAATAAAAAAACAATAAATTAGAAAAAAAAAAAATTAAATAATGTTCGTTGTAGGAGTTTCGTTCGTTATAGCATTCTCAATTTTATAGGTAAAACCGTTCGTTATAGGAATATTCGTAGTAGGATCCATTCGTTATAGCATACCCCACTGTATTAACTGTGAATATAGTAAAGAAGAATATCAACAAGAAGCGTTCTGGTGATAGAATTCCCGGTGATGATCGTAAAAGAAAGGATATAACACTTGAAGAGAAGCTCGGTGTTATCAACCTCAAAATCACCCTTCTCCCTCATCAAGTTATATTCATATTTTTACAAGGTAAAGTGTTACATTTACTGTATGATTTCATTATTAGATATGAATGTAACATTTATTTAGATTGTGCTATCCTTTGTGTTAGGCTAACTACTAAATTTTTTTCGATTTCGAGTAATCTGCACCTAACCCTATTTTCTCCATAAGCCCTGTTATTTCTATTACGCGATTTTCTATAACACGATATTTTACAAGAACACAATTATCGCGTTATAGCAGAACTACCTGTATATATATATATATACTGTATATATATATATATATACACACACACAGTATAGTCTCGATTTATGCGGATTTCGTTTACGCGTTTGGTCATTTACGCAGCACCTTGCCAGACTGACAATTTTTATTTACGCGGTATTTTCCATCATTTACGCGGGAAGTGGCGAGGGCAGGGTGCGCACAAGGTGGCCCAGTCAACAAAAAAATTACCGAGTTCTTCACCCGCCACCCACCACAGCCGACCCAAGTCAGTGATAGTGAGGATATGGACTTTGAGGGGTTTGACAAAGAGGCCCTGCAAGCCTCTGCGGTGGATAGTGATACACGTGATACAGTTGAGGGCCAGTAATCTGCCCTCTGCCTCGGAACCATCCCCCCATCCCCGTGTGCCCAGCCATCTCTTCTACTAACGTAAGTGTTAAAAAACCTAATATTATTGATATTTCGCTTAAATATTAATTGTGTGTGCATACCATCATAAAATTAAGATGTTATTTTTACTACAACGTACGTACTGTGTCGGAAAAAGGGTAGTCTGGGGATCGACCCAGTCTCTATTTGAATTAATCCCATATGTTCTGTCATTTCGTTTAGGTGTTCCTCGTTTTACGCGGACCTCCATGGGTTTAATTGACTGCGTAAACCAAGACTGTACTGAAAATATATACAGGGGGATATATATATATATACTGTATATATTGTTTTTGGCTGTAACCTTAAAAGTAATGTCCTTATAGTACACAATATAAGGAGAATACATTGTAATAACAATTATTATATACCAGTAACAAGTATGATAAAGAGGATAATACTGTATTGAGAGTAATACACATACTGTACTGTAATAGTCACCTCCAGCATCAGAAGATGGTGTCCAGCCAACTACATCAAGGTTCTGATAGCGGAATCCATCATACTTAAACCTAAATGGCAGACAAACTGGCTGGATGAAATCTGTGAAAGAACAAAAAAAATAAATACAGCTTCATGAAAACCCTTGGTGACAAATATTTTCTTCACGGACTTTCAAATACCTGCAGGTGAGTTCATTAAATAAAATCTTTGTTAACCACACAAACACTCAGTTTGTGCTATTTACAATTTTCAGTTTGTGTGTGAATACTACAGTATCCACAAACACATAAAAGTACCATGTAAAGGCTTTAGTTTAAATCATCTTTTGATAACCTCTCTCTATCAACTATTCAATACGAACGAGGTCCCATAAGGTCAATTATTATAAAAATCCGACAACTGGTTCATAGTAAAGGTACTTACATAAAAGAACTACTGTAGTTTGCGTGGTGTAGAGGGGAGGCAGAGCGGCACATGGGAATGATATTCACACCCAGCCATGCGTCTTCAGGGAGCATCAGTGTGATCAATTGCAAACTTGTTTTCTGCTTATTAATTCCACTGGTCAACAGCCAAAATGGTTCACATATGAGATCATGCTCACACAACTAATTTCATATTGCTGAATTCGAATCTGATATTTGTTTTGTTCTATCAGACCAGGTTTTATAAAAAAATCAATAGGTACAAATATTTAATATTCCATCACGTGTCATGCAAAAGATGAGATTATCTCATGTGACTGTGCTTTCATGACTAATTTCATATTAATGAATATTAATTGGATGTTTCATTCTACCATCAGACCTACTTTCTTAAAGAATAAAAAAAATAGTAAATATAGTAACATTATCGCGTCATGCAAGATACAATTTTAAACCTATCACAGATAAGCTCATAAAAAATTGTACCAAAAAACATAAGTTCAAATCCTTTATAATGACAAAATATGAAGTTCTAAAAGTGCTTCTGAACTTTACTCTTTCTCTTGTACAGCTTGCTCTCTTCTCGTTGCAGTGTCCAGCAATAGTCGCCCATCATGTTAGGACTGAATTGTCCCTGATATCTGCTCTCCATTATGGCGATATCTTGATGAAATCTTTCGCCGTGTTCATCACTAACGTCTCCAAGGTTACCTGGGAAAAATTCAATATGAGAGTGGAAAAAATGCAATTTCAAGGACATCCTTGCTCCCAATGCATGATAATTCTGAAGCATGGTTGTTACGATTTCTTTGTAGTTGTCAGCACGATAGTTTCCAAGAAAATTCTTTGACACATTGACAAATGATTCCCATGCTTTTTTCTCCAGTGGGTTCAATGTTTTGGTGAATTCGCTATCATTAACTAGTATACGAATTTGTGGTCCATTCAAGACACCTGCTTTCAACTTGGCTTCGGAAACCACACCACCTAGTTTCTGAGATAAGTATAGAGTCCCAGCACCGAATTGATCCATAGCTTTGATGAAATTTTTAGCCAAACCGAGCTTTAGATGCAGTGGAGGCAAAAATATCTTTTCTGGATCTACAAGCGGATTGTGAGCACAGTTAAACCTTCCAGGCGCATCTCTTGGTCTTGTCGGCCAATCCTTTCTCACATAGTGCTCTGCATCAGCTCTGCTGTTCCACAAGCACAAAAAGCACATGTGCTTTGTGTAGCCACTCTGAAGGCCCAGTAGTAAACTGATGACTTTGAGATTGCCACATATCTTCCACTGGTGTTTCTCATACTCTATAGCGGCCAACAGAATTTTCATTGTTTCATAGCTCTGTCATTTTTGTTGCGTGTGCTATTGGGACAGATGGAAGCCGATTGCCATTGTGTAAAAGAACAGCTTTCAGAGAGTCTTTTCCTGAGTCTATAAACAACCTCCAATCCTCTGTCTTGTATGTTTCAGACTTGCAGGGTTGTTGCATGAGAGATACTGCGTCCTCGCAATAACAAAGGTTGTTTGCCATCTTGAAAAATGCAGACAGCTGTCTATGTCGGTAACGCGCTGTAGTGATATGCACTCCATCTTCTAGCAGGTTACGCTGCTTTAGTCTGGATCCCAAAACTTCAGCCTTTTCTTTTGACAAGTTTAGGTCCCTGATGAGATCATGAAGCGCTTCTTGAGTAAATAGTTTAGGCCTGGTATTTTCAGAGTCATCCTGGTAGTCGTTTTCCATTGAGGTAGAGGTAGAATCGGAATCACTCAATTCTTGTTCAGTCGGTGGATTTGGGACTGGAAGTTCAGCACTGTGCGGTACTGGTCGGATTGCAGAAGCAATATTGGGGTACTGTACCTTGCCTCGTGTCTTGATTTTTATTCCCTTAATATTTGTGAGACAGAAGTAGCAGTCACTACTGTGGTCTTTAGGTTCACGCCATATCATTGGTACAGCAAACGGCATTCCTGAACTTCGTTTACCACACATCCACTCGCTCAGGTGGTTAACACAAGACTTACAGGCTACATGTGGTGCCCATTTCTTGTCTTGGTCACCCAAATGACAATTGAAGTAACTTTTGTAGTTCAGTCGAACAGCTTTTGTGATTGGTTTCTTGAGGCTACCAGGAGTGAAGGCACCACATATGTAGCAAAAACTGTCAGCACCGTTCACACACTTGCGACGTTCCATGTTTTGTTAATTTCAGAGTAATTACAAATCATGCAGGTGTAGATATGCAATATCATGAATCAGCAAACTTAAACAAACAAAAAAGCACAAATCAGGACAAAATAATTGCATAAGTGGAGCCAATGAACATATAAATTACTGTATGGTACACTAAATATATAGATATGCTGGTTCTGGAAAACTGAGCCTGATACAGCTATACGAATGTCATAATTGAGTTCAGCACATACAATTACACTAGAATCAGACTGTTTTGATCCAGAACCATGAGAATTTTTTTTTTATGTTGACCAGTGTTCTAGTTTTCTGCCCTCATTATGGCTCCCAAATGCAAACCCTATGCAAGTGATAGTAGTGCATCCAAGAAAAGGAAAACAATTACAACGAAAGTGAAAGTTGATGTAATTAAACATTCTGAAAAAGGCAAAACATCCTCAGTCATTGGTAAAGCATTGGGCTTCAGTCAGTCAACAGTCCGAACAATTATGAAAGACAAACGGAAAATTCCTGAACATGTTAAAGGATCTACACAAACGTACTCAACTGTGATAACAAAACAGAGAAGTGGATTGTTAATTAAAATGGAAAGATTGTTAGTGATATGAGTGGAAGATCAAAATCAACGGTGTCTACTCCAAGTCTAGCCTTGATTCAGGAAAAAGCAAGAAGCTTGCACGCTGACTTGAAGGTTAAACATGGTGGTGAAAGTGATGGGGAAGATTTTGTTGCTAGTAGGGGCTGGATTAATCAGTTCAAGGGCAAACTTACATAATTAAAGCACAAGGTGAAACAGCAAGTGAATTTCCTGCTGCTTTAGCTAAAATAATTCAAGAAGGGGTTATTGTGCTGAGCAAGTTTCTAATAATAATGAGACTGGTTTAATTTGGAAAAGGGTGCTCGAATGCACGTACCTTTCAAACATGAAAGAACAGCACCAGGGCAATAAAGCTGCCAAGGAGAGGTTGACCGTACTGCTGAGGACTACAAACTAAAACCTTTGCTTGTCTACCAATCACAAAATCCTAGAGATTTGAAGAGTATTTTCAAGGCAGCGCTTCCAGTTATCTGGAAATCTGATAAGAAAGCTTGGGTGACACTGACCCTTTAGAAGACTGGTGCCTTAATCATCTTGTGCCTGAGTGGAGCAAGATTGTAGTATTTCAAAATCAATGCCCTTTAAAATTCTATTGGGTCTTAACAAAGCACCTGACCATCCTGCATTTTCAGATGATGTTCTTCCAAACATTAAGGTTGTGTACCTACCTCCTAACACACCTGTTTTACAACCAATGGACCAGGGAGTTATTGCTTCATTTAAAGCATATTACCTAACAAGGACATTTGCTCATGCTACCAGGGCAACAGAACGAAAAGAGGGTAGGACTTTAATGGAATTTTGGAAGCCATAAAACATTTTTAATGATGTGAAAAACAGTGCAGATTCATGGGCTGAAGTAAAAGAATCCAACATGATTGGTGTTTGGAAAAACTCTGCCCACAGTTTGTCCACAATTTCAGGGGTTTTGAAAATGATGTTGGAGAAGTGACACAGACAGTGGTAGACCTTGGGAACCAACTCCAGCTCCATATTCATGAGGATGATGTCACACAGTTGCTTGTGTCTCATGCTGAAGAATTAAGCAATGAGGTCCTGATTAAACTGGAGAAGCAAATTTTGTCAGAGGATGTAGAGGAAGGTGAAACTCCAGAACCAAAGGGATTCATTAAAAAGGAAATGGCAGAAGGTTTCAGGCTTATTGAAGAAGGATTGTTTAAATCTGAATAGCAAGATCCCAACATAGCAACATTCACCAAGGTTCATAGAGGTATTACTGAATGCCTACGATGTTACAAACAGATTTATGAGGAAAAGAAGAGAGTTTCAGTTCAACCATCCCTTGAATTTTTTTTTTAAAGTCGAAAGGCAGTCAAAACCAGTCCCATCAACCTCTGCAGCATCTACAGAACCAGTCCCATCAACCTCTGCAGCATCTACAGAACCAGTCCCATCAACCTCTGCAGCATCTACAGAACCAGTCCCATCAACCTCTACAGAACCAGTCCCATCAACCTCTGCAGCATCTACAGAACCAGTCCCATCAACCTCTGCAGCATCTACAGAACCAGTGTCCCATCAACCTCTGCAGCATCTACAGAACCAGTCCCATCAACCTCTGCAGCATCTACAGAACCAGTCCCATCAACCTCAACAGCATTCTACAGAACCAGTCCCATCAACCTCTGCAGCATCTACAGAACCAGTCCCATCAACCTCTGCAGCATCTACAGAACCAGTCCCATCAAACTCTGCAGCATTTACAGAACCAGTCCCATCAACCTCTGCAGCATCTACAGAACCAGTCAACCTCTGCAGCATCTACAGTCCCATCAACCTCTGCAGCATCTACAGAACCAGTCCCATCAACCTCTGCAGCATCTACCAAACCAGTCCCATCAACCTCTGCAGCATCTACAGAACCAGTCCCATCAACCTCTGCAGCATCTAAAGAACCAGTTCCATCAACCTCTGCAGCATCTACAGAACCAGTCCCATCAACCTCTGCAGCATCTACAGAACCAGTCCCATCAACCTCTGCAGCATCTACAGAACCAGTTCCATCAACCTCTGCAGCATCTACAGAGCAACTCCCAGCAACTCCAGAACCAGTTCCCTCTACCTCACCAGATTCTCCAGAACCAATCCTGTTAACATCTACATCATCATCACCATATTCAGTTTCATAACAATGAAGCCTCTGTCACTCCAACAAATGCCCATCTCAACATGTAAACCAGCCCCAGATTTTAACGTACGGGTAAGTGTTAAACTTTACTTTTTACTTTTATTTACTTTATTTGTCATTCAATTGCTTCTTTTCTCTTAAATTAAGTAATTCAAGATGTATAAATGAACTTGGGCTATGATATAGTACATATAGGGTATGTGTTTCAACTTACGTACATTCCCGACTTAAGAAAGTCCTCAGGAACAGAACACGTTCATAACCCGGGGACCCGCTGTACAGCTTAATGAATCAAGTTAATACACCCTCCACTGGGCCTTAAATTTTTTGGCAAATATTGGTGGGAATGGGAGGATGTGCGCTCAGTGCTGTACATGGCACGGAGAGACACTCAGAACATACAGTACAGACTCTATACTATATACTGTACTAAAGAATGTAATCTATAATGTTTTAAGTAATAAGCCACTTTGAATGATATTCATGAAGTACCTTACAGCCTAGTTAAGAATAGCTGCTTGAAGTATATATATGTTGTCTGTTAATATTAAATGATAAATAGAGGTATTATAAGGTTTGAAAATTACGGGAACATAATGGCCACAGATGGTTGAAGGTTGCAAGAGGTAGGGTTAAATGCATTAAGGAAAAAACATGAAGGGAACCACACATCTACATTGATAGAATGAGAAAAAGTATTACAGTACTGTGAGTTTCTCACCATCAAATATCACATCTTGGGAAAGAGTGACTATGGCCGTGTCATTCTCAAAGGTCTCAATGTTGAAACCTGCATCAATGTGATGAAGGATGGAGAAATACTTGGGTACAGCTGCTTCATAACCTCCAAGCTGTACATGTGACCTGAAGGGAAGTCATGAGAGCTATATATTTGTTAAATAATAATGAATATAATATTAAAGCTTTTGTACAGTACAGTAGTTACTACCTATTAAAGCAGTATACTGTCAGCATACTCTGCTGGCAATTTAAAATTGCTTTCAGAGAAGATAGAAATGGAGGCTTTAAATTCCCTGTACAGTATATACAGTGGTCCCTCAATTAACGAACACAGTTGTTCATTGGAGTCGTTTGTTAACCAAAAAGTTCGTTAACTGAATCTATTATTTCAATGGGATATTGGGTAATTGGTTCCAACTCACAGAAAAAGTACTGTACATACAAAGTTCTGTATACCAGTAATAGAATTAACAAAACGTTAAATATAAACTAAATCCAGTACAGTACTGTACAGTATACTGTATAATAATAAATAAAAAACAATAGAATACTGTATTTTAACTTACTTTGAGGTGTGTGTCATATTTCCGGCAGCTTTGTTTACATATCAAACAGCTGATTGTAGAGGCAGTCGATGATGACGGGTCCATGACAAAACCCCAACGGACAAAACCCCAACGGGGTTGTCATTTGTCAACACTAACCTAACCTAAGCTTAAAAGTGCTTTATTTTATATTTTATATATGAGACTGGGGTTTTGTCCGTTGGGGTTTTATCCGGTCACCGATGATGACATGCCATATTCTTTACAGAGTGCATTGGTTCTAATGCCTTCTTCATGTTTCATAATAATTTCTGCACTGTATATTATCAATATGTGAACTAAATTTCAGAATGACCAATAATTTTAATGTAAATGTGCAAAAATATTCAAGAGACCAACAAATTCGATGTTCACTCCACTGTAAACGAAGTTAAACTGAAAAGCGTTGGTGGGTGAATCGATCAGCTGAAGGGCACACAAAAACTGTTCCCTGCACTGTATATATTATCAATATGTTAACTAAATTAGAATGACCAATAATTTTAATATAAAAAATGCAAAAATATTCAAGAGCACAACTTTCTTGATATTTACTCCACTGGAAACAAATGTAAACACAGAACCAATTACCTGTACTGTATTGGCGGACTAGCATATCAGCTGATGCGCACAACAAAGCGTGTTTCACGTAAGGCTTTCGTTAATCGAAGTTTTGTTCGTTAATGGAATTGAAAATCCTTATGGGAGCTAATTCGTTAACCGAAATTTCATTAATTGGACTGTTCGTTTATCAAGGGACCACTGTGGGTGGGTGGATGGGTGGGTGTGTGTGAGTGTATATATATATAAATATATACAGTGATCCCTCGGTTAACGAACGCCTCGGTTAACAAAATTTCGGTTAACGAATTACCTTCCATAAGAATATTCAATTCGGTTAACGAATTCTTTACGAATTCCTCTCAACATGTTTTCGCTTGCTCACCAGCTGGAATATTAGTCCGCCAATACAGTAATCGGTTCTAGGGCTTAAATTCGTTCCCATTCGAGTAAATATCAAGAAGGTTGTACTATTCAATAATGTTCCAAGTTTTATATTAAAATTTTTAGTCACTTTAACAATTATTTAACATAATTGAAGTACAGGAAACTATTTTTTAGTGTGCCAAACAGCCACTCAACTAACCAAACAGGTGTCAGTATGTATCTCTGGTCAGTAGAGGTAACGTCTTGCTTGAGACTCTCTTGCTATTTTTACGTTTTACAGTACAATTATTGGTCATTCTGAAATTTATTTTACATATTGACAACATATAGTGCAGTGCAGTGTTGATTTAAAGAAAATAATCTTGAATTACACCTAGTGAACTTAAAATTTTATGGGTGAAATGACAGCATGAAGCATGGGGTGATTTCTCTTCCACCCCAACTTCCTTCTCTTTTCCCTTCTCCTCCAACCTCACTTCTAATTCCCATCATCATCATTATCAACCAGGAGCCTTCTACATACACACCTCAAAGTAAGTGTGCTTTACTGCATTTATTTTTACTTTGTATGTAATTTTCGGTGAGCTGGAAGCAATTACCCAAACTCCCATTGAAACAATGGTTTCGGTTAATGAAATTTTTGGTGAACGAACAACGTTCTGGAATGTATGCATATATAAATATATATATAATATATATATATATATATATATATATATATATATATATATATATATATATATATATATATATATATATATATATATATATATATATATATATATATATATATATAATATATATATATATATATATATATATATATATATATATATATATATATATATATATATATATATATAATATAAATATATATATATATATATATATATATATATATATATATATATATATATATATATATATATATATATATATATATAAATAAAATAAATATATATATATATATATATATATATATATATATATATATATATATATATATATATATATATATATATATATATATATATATATATATATATATATATATATATATATATATATATATATATATATATATATATATATATATATATATATATATATATATATATATATATATATATATATATTTATATATATATATATATATATATATATATATATATATGGTTAACCCTCACTTTACGGTTAATGTAACCGGAGGGTCCTGTAAAGTGAGAAATAAAGTGAATAACATAACATATGGGATTAATTGAAATGGAGTCGGGCCATCCCCAAACTCCACTTTTTTGTGACACACAACTATGTTGTAGTAAAATATTATCTTAACTTTATGATGGTATGCACACACAATTAATAATTAAGAGAAATATCAATAATATTAGGTTTTTAACACTTACATTAGTAGAAAAATGGCTGGGCACACGGGATGGTTGGTTCGAGGCACAGAGATTAGCCCTCACTTGTATCAATTGTATCACTATCCACCACAGAGCTTGCAGGGCCTCTTTGTCAAACTCCCAAAGTCCATATAAGTCCATATCCTCACCATAATTATCACTATCACTGACATGGGCGGCTGTGGTGGGTGGCGGGTGAAGAACTGGTAATGTTTTGATGACTGGGCAACCATGCGCACCATGTTCGCGCAGCTTACACCATGGCGGATGGCGGGAGGTTGGATCAAAATGGATGGGGCTGTGGCTACTCCGTAGGGGTACACGCAGATGTGAGCATCCTGGGTTCGGCTAGGCACAGTAAGCGTGGGAAACGCGGAATGTGGGACAGCGTAAGTGAGGTTAACTGTGTAATAATGTATATATATATATATATATATATATATATATATATATATATATATATATATATATATATATATATATATATATATATATATATATATATATATATATATATATATATATATATATATATATATATATATATATATATATATATATATATATATATAATATATATATATAGTAATATACCACTGCTTCTTGGTCAATGAGACTCCCAGTGCAAGTGATAGTGCTGTGCCAGTGTTTAGGGTACCAAGGGGTGGTTTACTGGTTTCAGAAGGAGAAATAAAATACATAGTGTTGTGAGACATGGTGATGCTGCTAGTGCAGATAGGGAAGCAACTAAGAACACCATGACATTTTTGAATATTATTGAGAGGGAGGCTTTTGTTTCTCGGCAGGTATTCAACTGTGATGAAACTGGTTTTGAAAAAATGCCTTGCCATACATACATTACTAAAAGAAACTTCTGTCCTGGCCATAAGCCAATGAAAGGCAAGGCTTACCCTCCTTCTTTGTGCTAATGCTTCTGGTACAAAATAAAAGCCCTCCTTGTGTACCATACCAAAACCCCAGAGCTTTCAAAAAGTGAGAAGACCACGTCTTGTTATGTGGCGGTCAAACCCAAAGCTTGGGTGACAGGAATTTATTCTCGGAGTGGGTGATTGAGGTGTGTTTTTGGACCAGTGTTGGGGAATACCTCAGGAGAATAATCTTCCACTGAAAGCTTTGTTGGTGCTGGACAATGCACCAGCCCACCCTCTAATTTGATGGTTGGTGCAGAGAAGTTCAACTTCATCCTGTGCACTTCTTGCCACCCAACACAACACCTCTCATCAGCCCATGGATCAACAGGTAATTTCCTGCTTTAAGCTGTACACAAAGGCACTGTTTAGAAAATGTTTCGTCCACTTCTTCCAGTGATGTAAGCTTGAAGGAATTTTGGAAGTCACTTCAATATAGCAGGCGCTGTTTTTTAATTACCTCACCCTGGAAGAGGTTACTGTGAGGTGTCTTTATTATGCTGCTTGAGGCCCATTGTGGCTGAATGTGTCCTTCAAAGAGACTTTGGAAGGCTTGAAAAGAGAGAGAGAGATTAGAAGAAAAGAGGCTGTTGTTCATGAAATTGTGTCTCTGGGTAATTCCATGGGCCTGGAAGTGTGGATGATGATGATGTTGAGGAGTTGGTGGAAGAGCACAATGAGGGCTGTCCGCAAGGCTGTAGGCACAAAAGAGGAAAATGGGGAACACTGAGCGGGCTTAACTACCTGAGGAGTCAGGGAGGAGGAGGACAAGGAGGAAAGCAGCATCATTCCAGCCAAAGATCTCAAGGATCGTTCTTTAACAAGACAAACTCATCCAAACTTGCTGATTATATGCAAATGTGGTTTGCTTGTTGCAAAAAGGCCATCAATTAATGTTTAATGACAATATTTATGAACTACTTTTGGAGGTCCAGAAATCAAGGTTGAAGCAGCCAACCCTGGATTCCTTCTTTACAAAAGGTAACAAGAACCTACAGACAAAGTGCCTGTGAGACAGAGATCACCAAGGAGCTAGGAAGGATGGCTCTCCTCTCCTTCACCTCTTCTCCCATAATGCTCTCCTCCCCCCTCCTCTGCCTCCCCTCATCTGCATGCTGAACAACACTAAGGTAAGATAAAATTACATGTTTTTACATTTTCCACAGAATTTTTTCAGTGTTAAGTGGTTGTATTTGAGGGGCCTGGAATGGTTAAATATAACGCGAGCGAAGATGCTACCTCTTGAGCAGGGTTCTGGAACCAATTGGAATTTCGTTATAGCATACCCCATAACATGTTTATTTATTTATATACTTGTTGCAAGATATTTGAAAACTATAATCAATAATCATAAACTTAGTGTCAATGGCCATCCTCTAATTCGAGAAAACAACAAAAATCCTGTATGTGGAGACTGTCTTACTCAACAGTTCCAATATGACCGTTTGCTTGTCTGCGCATCGCTCATGTCCTGGAGGCAGCGGGGCGTGTGCCAGATCCGCAGTGCCGATCTGGATATCAGTATGGGAGGTAGTGTTTATGCATCATCCTGTGTGGTAACTACGGCGCTGCTTATATCAAATGTTTAGTCGATAAATTGTAGAATGATGTGATATCATGCCAGCATGATATCACATCATCTAATTATCTTTCAATACTCATAGAAACTACATTTTGTATTCATTGTTTTTCCAGAAACTTTGTGCATCAGAAAGAATTTGGAATTAATTAAACATAGCCTCCTTGTTTCCCAAGAAACAAGTTCTGTGACTGACAGTAGTGAACTTCAACAACAAATTTTAACAGTTGTCTCTTCACTTGAGAAGTTGCTATTAAGACAAGGAGCCGTCCTCACCTGATATTCTTCAAATATCAGCAGGAATAAGCAACAGTAAGAGAGTGTATATTAAGTAGCTTTCATTCAGGGAATGGTACCAAAAGGAAAAAATTGACTCCTGTGGTTGTGAGTAAAAAATACATTATTTTGTTTTCGTGTTTGCTGTTTGGAATTGGAAGTAGTATAACCGGACAAGGCGGCTTTAGAAATATAGGCAAATGAAGGAAAAACTGAAAAACATGAAAAGTCAAAAGAAACATTGAAAGCGTGGTTTCACTATCACTTTAGGAGGCGTATATTAAAAGAAAACTTAGTGAAGCCTATAGACTTATGATCAATGAGGCATAACAGGAAGGTTACCAAGAACGTGAAAATTTTATCAAAAGATAATAGACTGCATTTCCATTTTTGTGGGAAACTTTGAAATTCCTTGACATGGACATGATGAAAAGATGATTCAGTAAGTCAGGTGTATTTATGGGATTAATAAATTTTGCATCTAAATTAGACCCGATTTAAAGAACCATTTTGAAAACAAGTAGTCTTCTGAGGCGTTTCTAAGACTATTCAGAATGAGAT